CACTTGAGCTCTTATAAATCATCTATCTGAATCACAATGGCTCCTTCAAAGCTGACATGATTTCAGTGATTGTTACAACTGTACATCATGGTAAGAGTGTAATTTAAAATAACGCCCTTGCAGGAACAGTAGCCATTTTTACTGCTCTTTGAGATTTCTTGCCCAGAACAAATATAGAAATATAACAAAACAAAAAAAGCCTAGGCTAAGATCATGCCAATGTGTTCTGCACTGAAACATCTGAGAGATTGTATTCAAAATTGGCATTCACAATGAAAACAAGAATAAAACTATCCTGAGCTAATTTAAAGATATTTATTCAGCTTCAAAACATGTGCTTTGGTTAGATTTTAGCTGCTTTATGTCATGTACCTTCCCTTAAATTCCATGTACTATATGGTTCTGAGTAATAAAAAATAAATTGTTTTGGTGAAGATGTACCAAGGAAATTGAATCAGTTTTTACCAAACTGCATCCTGTATGTAAAAGCCAACTAAGGAATACAAGAGTTATTAGTATTCTAGTGACCTTTCAGCCACAGACTGCATGGAAATCCCAAGAGCTATTTTACAGCTAAAATTAAAGATAGCACATAATATGCAAGGTCAGATTGTGCTCTTCTTCACAGAGTTTCTCTCTCTGTACCAGATATTAATTCTTAATTTTATTCATAAAGAAAAATGTCACTTCTCTGTGCATCAACATGTGGTTGAGGTTTATGAAAGTAAGGAATAAGGAATTCCACTTAGCAATTAAATACTGGTCTAAAAATACCCTATTTATTGCTCACAGAAGCTGCGGATGCAAATTGACATCATATTGAACAAGAGAGTAAATAAGACCTTGAATGTGAGAGGTGGTGATCCCTTTCATCTCCCTCTGACATTCACTCATCATCCTTCATCACAGGTTTGGTAATCTTGTCATAGTATTCTGAATGAGTGCAAAGTTGCTGAGAGGGAGCCTTATATATCCTCAGTCCAAATGTTCAAAACCACTAGGATTAGGATCAAAGTGAGAATACTAAACAGAAAATAAAGGAAGGTAAAAGGAAATCCTGACAAAGCCAATCAGATTGCAAAACTCAAGGAAGCAAAAGCATTCACTGATCCCATACAGCAACATGATTAACTCATACCCATAAAAAAGCCAGTCTGATGACAGTAATTGTTTCTAATTCCTTGAACATAGCATCCAAAACTGAACCTATAACATTCTAGCCCAAGGAATAAAAATAAATAAATAAATAAATAAATGTCCAGACTTGGATCTAGAAGACTGAAGCCCAGAATAGACAGACCCAATTACCTTTTGTGTGGAGGCTACTGGAAACTCTGTATGCAATGGACTGATGATGATTGAACAGGCCTGTCAGGTCACATGTACTGGACAGCTCAGTTTCCATCTGATCCTTAGTAATCATTATTTGTTTCCAAACTACCAGTCCAGCAACAGACATTGACCACTTCATAGATTTTCTTTTAAGGCCAAGAGATCACTGTGATCATTTACTCTGAACTCCTTCATGACAGAGGCCACAGAATTTCACTCAGTAATTTCTGCATCAAGTCCAATACGTTGTGATTGAACTAGCTCATATTTTTAGAAACTAATATTGATTTTAAAATTTCAAGTGATGGAGAATCCACCTCTTGCCTTCATAAGCTGTTCCAGTGGTTAATTACCCCCACTAGGTAAAAAAAAAGGTACCTTATTTCCAGTTTGAATCTGTCTAGCTACAAATTCCAGCCATTGGATCTAGTTATGGATTTGTCTGCTACATTAAACAGCCCTCTATTATCAGATATGTTCTCTCTGGAGTGGTACATACAGACTTTGAGCTTCTCCCTGCAGGGCTGGCTCTAGGTTTTTTGCCGCCCCAAGCAAAAAAATTTTGGCTGCCCCCGACCCCAGCCCTGGGCTCCCCCCCCCCGGCACCCTCCTGCTGCCCCCCAGTCCTGGGCTCTTCCCCCACACCCACACCTCCTGTCGCCCCGGCTCTGGGTTCCCCCCCACCAGTGCCCTTCCCCCCACCCGCACCCCCCTGCCGCACAAGTCCTGGGTCACTGGTAACT